CATTATTGTGCTTACAGATGTGTGTCTTCGTTTTCGAGGTTATTTTAGGCTATGTACAAAAAAAGGCTTAGACTGTGTATTAGTCAGGTTCTCTAGAGGATCAGAACAAATACATATAACACACACACACATGTACCACACACCGCAGGTTAATTAAAGAGCATCAAGTATACCTGGGATAAATTAAATATTAGACTTCTGACCTGCATAGAGAGAAAGCACTGGCCTTGAATTTGGGCCTCCTCCCTACCCAGTATGGTTGTTAAGGTTAAGGAGCTCTACAGCCACACTGGGGTTGATAGGGAAGATAAGACGAAGGCTCTTCCTGTCCTTGATGGAGGCTGGTCACCTTGGGGCCAGATCGTTGTCTGGTAATTCTGCTTCTAGAAATTCATGCCCTGGAGCCAGGCACCTTTGTCATGGACTGGGGACCAGACGAGTTCTTTTATACTTTGTCAGCTTTGTGATTTAACAAACATTTGCTGGCTTGCCCTGTTCTGTTGACAAAAGGATGTGTCAGAAACAACCCGGTTCTCTCCTTGCCAAGTAAGTGTAGAACTTGCAGACTAACAAGCAGTCACTTAGGCATGGTGGAGGGCACTGGGTTAGGTAGTTCTGAAATCTCTGTTACAACAAAAAGCACAGCTTTGGGTGCTGAGGTTGGAATAATAACCTGGGGTAATAGCTCTATACTTTTTAAAGGCTGAATCAATTTCCATTTTCTTACTGTGGGCAGCTCAAGCAGAGTGAGGCCAACTTGTACAGTCTGAATTCTGTGCATACAACCAGATCAGGTAAAATGACATGACCATCTCCTGCACTGGAGCTGTCTTCTATATAGTCCTCAGTTTCGGGGTTTCCACTTCAAGCCACAGGCGGACAAAATTGCAAGCACCTGCTTTAACCTTCAGCGAGGTCACGAAGGCACCTGTAAAATGTGTGGCAGTGGCTCTAATGTTCAATACTGTGTATGTGCTGGGGAACTCTGTTTAACGTTTCCATGGACTGAGCGCTTGGTCTCCTGGTCTCTGTTGAACTGGTGTTTCTGAATCACTGGCTTTTCTGGTCCCTGCTATACAGTATGCCAAGGTGTCTGCAGGTTACATGTGCCTCTGGGTAGAAACTGGATTTGCTACAACAGGGTGGGACTATGACTTGGAGCATTCTCTTACATGTGCCTACAGGTGCCTGCCCAAGCATGATGTCCCCAGTGGAGCAGCTGACTAGTCTTGCCCTCTTCTATTGTGCTGTGTAGTATGCACCCGTGTACAGTGGCTGTCATGTTCACTGGGCTCCCTTCTCCACCCATGCTATGGGGGAACAGAAATGTGCAGATTTTCATGGAGAATATTTTTCCAGTTTACCCTGGGAAATGATTCAGTTTGGAGGTGGCAAAGGGATGCTGATGGCCAATCTGAACTTGGCAGCTGCTGATGACAAACAATGTTGCAAGCTAGGTTTCTTTGTCAGCCTCTGGAGGCCACATAAGGGATCTCCTGCCCAGTTGGGCTCCCATTGCTTGAGAGCATCTGAGCAGTGAATTGGACTTTCCTGTCCCTGAGCTGAAGGCCCTGAGCTGATAACAGTGATAAACAGTGGAATCTGAGATAGTGACCAGACAGTGGCATTTAATGGTCTTTTGGGTGACACTCTGTGTGTACTGTTGGTCTAAATGGACCGGATTTTAGATGAAGAAAGAATAGCATTGTGGAGCTGGTTGACTAAAGGCAGATGGACCTCACCAGAGCCCATAGTTCCTATCCCTAGCTTAGCTCTCACAGAACAGTGCTAGGTGGTCCCTTCCTGACTATTGCTGGGATAGTGTGCATTGCGGAAGTCCTATATGAAGCAGGCTATGGCCTTGGTCTACCTTGAAGGCAGCCTCCCAAAGAAGGGTTCAGCCTGGGCTAACCCTCAGGTGCCAGAGCTTAAGGTTGAGGGTGACAAAGCCTAGAGGCTACAGGAAGTTCCTTTCTGCCTATGACTATGTGCACCAAAGCCATTGACCTTTATAAGACAAGTGGTCACAGATAGGAGTAGGTGTTGCTGATGTGCCTTGGTGTCTTGAAGCTAACAGCTTGGGGTGGATGATACCATATATCAGTAGCTGGGTATCAGTGATGCATTGTGGCCTTGCTGGTCTTTGTGAGCAAGGGCAGATTCATCTCTGAGGGTTAGGCTGGGGAAGAAGGTGACAGGAGAGCCAGGCCTTCGCATCTTATTACTTGAGTGCTTTAAAACCACTTGGAAGTACTGGGGAGAGGGGCCTGGTTGCAAGTGTTTTACTGAACCCCATAACTCATGTAGAAATCTGGGTACTCCTTTGCATTTGTAATCCCAGCACTACTGGGAGATGGTGCATGGAGACAGGTGACTTTCTGGAAGCTCAGTGGCCAGTTAGATTAGGCTCTGTGACAAGAGTGCTAAACCAATGACAGTCTCTATCCTGAATAAAAGGAAGAAGGGGCCTAAGGGCTCAACAGTGGTTGTTACATGCACTATCCATGTGCATACCTACAGCACAAGCATGCATAAGCACACACACATGCACACACACACACAAACACACACACATGTTCACGCCTCACACATGGAGAGGGGGGATAGAGAGGAGGCACAATGGATTGTATGATGCATATCTCATTGCAGCTTGAGAGATTTTACAATGTAGTGCTCATTGAATGACATGTTCTCAGAGTTTCCCAGTCTTTAACCTCTGCATGTATGGTCTCATGTTAAGAAAAATGTAGGTTTATAGGTTGAGTATTTACACATCAGACTTTGGTGTCCTGTCCGGAGCAGTTATAAAGCACAGTTACATTCTGTTTTTTTTTTTTTTTTGTAACCCTTGAAGTCATGAGAACATCCCTCATGTTAGACATCTAGGAAGGTTTGGTTCTGTGTGAGCCACTTATTTTCTTTCAAGTTAAAACACTTGGTGCTACATTGGTCCTGAGGCTCTCCATACTAGGTTGATGGAAACCTTACCTCTCTACTTTGTGGGGATTAAAACATTTCCATAGGCTACTGTGCCCTGTTCCATGGGTTCTTCCTTCTGTAGGTCGCCAAGCTCAGTGGGCACCTCCTCCCCACTCAAGCTCACAGTGTACCCGAGTGTATTGACAATACTCTTCCTTAGTTTCACTGGGTGCAATGTTCGTGTTGTCTGAGTTCCCAGTATGTGTGTATCATGCCATAGTAATAGACCTTGCTGATGCTCAATCAGCCAGAAGGAATGGGGCTGAGAGATAGACACGTTTGAAAAAAGAACTATAGCTGGGCATGTCTGTACATGTATGTAATCCCAGTACTTGGAAGGTGGAGGCAGGAGGATCAAGACTTCAGTCGTCTTTGGCTATATATCAAAATTTGAGGCCAACCTGGGCTATGAGATTCTGTCTTTAAAAACAGTAGAGGAGAAGGGCAGGGAAAGGGGAAGGGCTTTCCTGCTTAAGTGGTTGCCTGTCTGGACCATGTTCTGAGGAGGAGGTCATGGTTTCCACCTAAGATCCAGCTGACCAGGGGAAACAGGTGATATTGCTATGGTATGGATAACTCCTGAAGGGAGGTGTGGTGGCAGTATGGCTTGAACCAGCTGCACCCTACCCCCTCTAGGAGCTGGAGCAACTGTATAAGAGGTCATTCCCGAGTGGCCCATGTTTCCCTCAAGCTCCTTCCTGGCAGAGGACAGAAAGCAGGCTGTGTTGGACCCAGTTGGGTTTTCATAGAAATGGTTTTTCTGAGTTGGTTTCAAAATGTTTTATTCTCATTGTTCAGATATACAAATCCCTGTAACTTCCATATCTCAGCCCGGTCACTAGTCTGGCAGCTGCCTTCCAAACTTTGTCCCTGATTGAACTTGGCCAGGCCACCCAGCTGGCACTGTTCCACAGGTTGTGAGCAGTTCTAGCTATATCACCTGTGTTTCTCTTTGAGCATCTAAAACAGTTTTGGTTGACTCGTTGCACCTGGGGGCTATGGCTTTTTGTAGGATGTGTCGGGTATGATACCAGGGTCTCTGAAACCGTAGGGAACCCTCTCTTACTGAGCTATACCGCAAGTGTGCCCCTAACATTTTAGCTCCATTCTCTTTTGATGAGTATTTGTTTCCAGTTTTTCACCAGTCTTTCATTGAAAATGCACAAGGTACTGGAATTTCGGAAGATCTGTGACTTTCTCCATGTGGTATTCTGGAACTTTTTGCTCGGATCTTCCTGTCACGACTACCCTCGGAATTTACCTGTCCTTGGAGCCAAAGGGAGGAAGTGCCATCCTCCAAGTTTGGGCTGCAAGTGTTCCCCAGGTTGGATCATGGAACACTCCTGTCAGCAGGTACAAAGAAGCTGGGGCTTGGCTGTCCTGACCTGTCCCAAAGCCCTGTGACTTTCTTGGGTGGGATTACTTAACCCTAGGGTGCACAGCTTCCCCGAATAGCCGTAGATTACTCGCTGGGCTACGTTAGCAGCCTGACCTGGTCAGGGGCCGGGCCACGATCACACGCCTTGGTAGGGATGGGGACTTGCAGACAGGCTGAGAGAAAGGGGCCATGATCTGTGGGGTGGTGGGAGAAGAGCCTCACGGGAGTTTGGAGTGAGAACGGGAGAACTGAAACTGAGGAAGTGGTGAATGACCAGCTCTTGGAGGGCGGGAGGGCTCGGAGACTGTTTTGTGAGTAGGGGTGAAGGGAGAACGGGGTCCCGCGGGGCGGAACTGGTGTCTCCTGTGCTGAGGGAGGTCTGCAGCTGTGGGCAGTTCCTTCGGCGGTGGCCTCTAGAGGTTGGGTTTGTGGGCACGGAGTCCTTGAGGGTACGGGGCTCTGGCGGGGCAACCCTGGGACTATGGCTACAGAGGCGGAGTTTCAGGAGGCGGAGCCCGTAGTGGGCGTGGTCACCCGGGAAGCCGCCCGACAACGCTCGGGGCAAACTTTTCCCGAGCCGTGGGGGCGGGCAGGTGAGGTCACGTGGCGGGCAGGGCGGGCCGGGCGGACCCCGCCCCTGCGCCGGAGTCCGGCTGCTGCTCCGGAGCAGCGTGTGGCTGCGAAGGACAGCAGAGTCTAACGGAGCCATGCCCACGAACTTTACGGTGGTGCCGGTGGAGGCGCGCGCCGACGGCGCCGGGGACGAAGCTGCTGAGCGCACGGAGGAACCCGAGTCCCCCGAGAGCGCGGATCCTGCCTCCCCTACGCCGGGTGAGCTTGGCCGTACCTGCAACCGGACAAAGGCAGAGGCTGGGCCCTTCTGCTGCCGCTGGGCCGCTTTGGCTCCTTGGTTGGCCGCGGCCCGCGCGGCGCGTAGCGGGGCTATGGAAAGGGGTCAGAAGGACCAGCTGGTGCCTGCCTGGCTGGGAGGAGTGACTCGAGACCGGGAGAGGATTCTTGGGCTGGTAGTTTGTTGGCTCTGTTCATTCAGTCTCTTGAATTCAGTGCTCTGCTCCTCGCTCGGGTTGCATGGGACACCCACTGCATGTCTCCCTGTTGGTCTGACTCAGTCAGCCCTGGGGGCGCGGTTCCCACCTCTTTTCATGGCCTGACTGGAACACCGAGGCTGGAGCACCGGAAACTACTTGGTCTGGCAACTCTGACGGGACTAGGGAGGAGTTGCAGAGCTACTGGAGGTACCTATGGAGACAGGAAGGCCCAGGTGTCTAGGTAGTACCTGGGAGAGCTGGAGGTACAGACCCCTGGATGGGTGATCTCATTGACATACAGCTTTCTCTGGGCAAGCTTTCCTTTGCTCCAGGATGGCCCAGTGCGGTTATCCAATAAATCCGACTGGGATCCCAGATCTGCCTCCACTGACCTTGGACCAGCCAAACCTCCCTTGGGATCTTAGAGGAAGGACAGAGGCCCATGTAAGCCTGGGGAGGGGGCTGCGCACTCTGAGCGCGGGCTTCTCTTTGCTGCTCTTTGTTCCCTGGATCCGGAGCTCTCTGGCACTTTCACTTTCCACAGGGTGGGGATGGGCCTGGGAATCTCTCTCCATCCCACTTCTAAGCACCCCCTCTGCTGATGGCAAGTCACCTTGAACTGACTGCTTCCTCCCTGTTCCAACTCTCCTCTAGACCTAGATCCTAATAGGCCCTACTCCGCCCGTGAAAGTGAGAGGACCCAGCACACAGCTGTAGCTGGTCTTGCACATACCCCACGTCCTACATTGGAGGCTCGGGCTCCAGGCTCTGGGTCTGGAAGGAAAAGAGTGCAGTCCTCAAAAGACGGATCTTTCATATGGCCTCAGAGCTTTTGCTGTCCAGAATACAGGCAGTAGAAACTGTGCTTCCTCTAGTCACACTTTTAGGAGCCTGCATTCACAGGCTAGGAGTGCTGGTCAGGAAATGGCCTAGCCCAGGTCAGCAGCCTGCCTGTCTCCCTCTGTGACCTTCTCCATGGGATGCTGGACTGTTCAGCCTTCTCTGCACGGACAAAGCATGCTATGTCTCAGGGCTGCTGCCTGGCTAAACATAGAAAATCAGTTGTAAGGTGGAGTCAGAATCTAGAAGTCCAAACTCAGTGTCCAGCAGGGAAGGGTTGTCGGTGTCACATAGATCCCCAGAGTAGAGCCCCACTGGTGCCCAGTGGACTGAGGCAGACAATTCTACATATCTGCAGACGTCCCATATGATGAGTGTCTCAGGCAGAGGTAATTTTCCTTTTGATTCATTTCTTGTTCCCTGCACTATTAGGGCCCTCAAGTGGTGCCTGGTGTCAGGGCTGAGGATTCAGCTTCTAGGAAGGGAAGTAACTGTCAGGCTTCTTAAGACTTGCACAGTTTAGGCTAACAAAAGGAGCAGCATGCACTCATAATCATTAGTTGTTTTGAGACAAGGTCTTATGTAGCCTTGAACTCAATCTGTAGCTGAAGATGACCTTGAACTCCTGGTGCTGGTGCCTCTACCCACTGTATTACAGTAATGTGTTGCCACACCCGCTTTTTTTTTTTTTTTTAATGTATTGCTGGTCAGGATTGAACCAGGGCTTGGTATATTGCTAGGTAAGTGCTCTATCAACTGAGCCACATCCTGAGTGTATGTGTTGTAATGATCCTTTTATGGTCCAACCTCAACTTAAGTAACTTGGCTGGGCTCATATAGAACTTGCAGTTTGGTACTCTGTATACTTAATATTTCTATAACGTTGATTTTGGAAACTTCAGCCACTGTACCATGACAGGGTTGAATGTGTTGTAGCCACAAGTCTGCTGGGGTTTGTCCTGATTTCTTTCTCTTTCTTTCTTTTTTAAAAATTTTTTATTTATAGTTATTATTTATTTTTGTTTGTTTTCAATTTTTATTATTTTACTTATTTACATTCTAGTCATTGGTCCCCGCACCCCCACCCCCCACTGTTCCTCATCCCATTCCTCTTCCCCTTTACCTCTGAGAGGGTACTCTCCCCCCTCCCTCCCCATGCCTCCCTCTTCCCTGGGGCCTCAAGTCTCTCGATTAAACGCATCTTCTTCCACTAAGGCCTGACCAGTCAGACTTCTGCTATATTTGTGCCAGGGGCCTCTGACTGGCCCGTGTATGCTCCTGGCTGGTGGCTCAGTCTCTGGGAGCTCCCTGGGGTCTGGGTTAGTTGAGACTGCTGGTCTTCCTGTGGGGTTGCTCTCCTCTTCAGCTTCTTCAATCCTTCCCCTAATTCAACCATGGGGGTCCCCAACTTAAGTTCAATGGTTAGGTGTAAGTATCTGCTTGTCTCAGTCAGCTGCTGGTAGGGCCTCTCAGAGGACAGCCATGCCAGGTTTCTATCTGTAAGCACATCATAGCATCAGTGATAGTGTGAGGCCTTAGTGCCCTCACATGAGATGGATCCCAATGGGCCAGCCATTGGACTGCCTTTTCCTGATTTCTAACAGGGATGGCAGACTCCAGCCAGGGGTAGGGAAGGAACCTCACACTTAGTTTTAGTGGGAAAATCCTGTACAGGCAGGAAGAAGGCTTTCCAAAGGTCGACTATATGGATGTACACCATTTGTGTGGGGGATGTGTATGGTCATATCTATGGGCATGTTTGTGGACAACAGGCCAGGGCCAACTTACCTGATCACAGGAGTCATCTTTGTCCACTGCAGCCTTGTCCTGCCTCTTATTCAGATCCCTTGGCAGTTCTTGGAAGTATCATTTTCTAGACATGTCTCATTTGTGTTGCTTGTGATGGAGTGAGTTTGGAGACCTCATTAGGTCTACACAGATCCAGGCTGCAGTTGAACTGGGGCCTCCTTGGCCATTCCAACTTACACAGCCAGTGTTTTTGGAACCAGAATGTGGGTCTGGCATGTGACCTACATTCTATATAGTCTGCCTAGGGATCTCCTCAAGCTATGAACACATGGCTATAGGGAACCCACAGCCCTCTTGGGCCTGGTGCAGCTTCTATACCAGGAAAACAGGTAGTGTGAGGGTAGGAAGTGCCGTATATCACTGAGTCTTAGCCTTGACCTCCCCTGGTGCTGTGTGACCCAGGCAGGGGCTGGGGCTGGTACTTTAGTGGCAGAAATGCAGTTAGTCTTATATTCTAGATAGTGTATGTCTACTTATAAAGTCCTTGGCCCTGTGTGAGGAGCTAGCTTCCCAACCCATATAAGTGAAAATCGGTTGGGCAAGGAGAAGGCAGGCGTGGTGAGTGTGACATCCACATTTTGCTTCCTCAGTTTTTTAGCTTCTGTTTCCCCTTTGTTCAGGGCCCTTCCCTTAAGCGTGTGTTCTAGAAGCACTTGGGATTGTGCATCAGGGCAGGGAGCACAGCCTTTCAGCAGGATAGATGTTGGACCTGGATTTTATTTATTGTGAGATTCCTCTAGAAGTGGAAAGGATGTGTGAATTCTTGGTGTTCTGTTGGAATTTTTTTTAGTGTGTAGGAGTGGAGAGGACACTGCTTGGGGCTAGGACCCTTCCTGTCAGAGTGGGGCATCATTAGATCTCAAGACCATGAGGAACCTGTCAGGGAACGTGCACAGGGCCCCTAGTGAGGTGCCCCAGGCCTGTGAAAGGAGATTCCACAATGGAGTCTTTCTGGATTTACTGCAAGGTAATCACTACCTGGGGGCCCTCCCACTCCAGGTCAAATCTGACGTCTGTGCAGGCTTCCTTTCGGTCTGGTTGCAGGTCCCCTTTCAGATTCCAACCACGTGGTGGCATGCTCTGTAGCTGATTTCATGCTAGTCACCTGAGGACTTCTTCTCTCTGTAGAGGTGACCCTGTCCCAATACACTAGCAGGAGGGAGGCAGTCCTGAGTCACCTTTGTCCTGTCTGGAGGTTGAGTGGAGGCTGGGCAGAAGATAGTGTTCTGTGCCCTCAGGGCTGCTGCTGACAGGGGTCACAGTTAGGACGGAAAGATTCAGAGAAAAGTACAGTTAGGAAGAGGACTGAGCAGGAGATTTTAGGCCCTGTTCTGTTAGGCTAGGACAAGATCTAACAATCTCATCCTAGGATTTTCAGAAAAGGGTGTGTTGCACTGGTGCTGGAGATCCAAGCAGGGGCTGGTGGGCACAGGCCTTCTCTCCATCTTGTGTGGAGTCCTTGAAGATGGGGCTGAGTGTGTGAGCATGGACCCTAATACCTTTGGGAGTTCTTCAAGGTGGGGTTAAAGGTCATTTACAGAGATAGCTGCACCTGATGTGTATGGAATCTGAGTAAGAGGGAAACATGTGAGTAAGAGGGAAACACACGCCTTTCCCCTTTCAAACCAAAGAAAGTGCTGGGCAATTATTGCTCAGTGGTAGGGTGCTTGCCTTGAGGCTATAGCTTTGATCACCAGTATTCCTATTGTAAGACAAAGCTGCACAAAACAGCTGGGGGAAACAAAGGATCTCACTGAGCAGGTGACTGCTGGGAACCCAGGTGGCTCCTCTCAACTGTATCCATGCAACAGGCCCTTCCCTTAGGAATCAGTGAGACAGGTGTCAGCACAAGTCATCTTGCTAGGCCCATGTTCAAGTTGGTGAGCATGCATATATGCACTGTGTGCGTGCACGTGAGGGTTAGGGGAGCTGCTTCCTCCCCAGTAGAAGGTCACATGGTATTAGGCGTTGTCATTTTCCATAGTCAGACTTCCTAGTAAGTGGTTTGGTATAACTGGCATGGCCTTCAGGACTGATGAAGGACCTGAATGTTCTGACTCTTTCCCCAGTCATTGCCTTTTATCTATTTTTTAATTAAAATTAATCTGAGGGTCCTTGTGGACCTGGAATGTC